TTACCCTCTACAAAAGCCAGGGCTTCAAATCCAGCTCCAAAAGCCAGGGCTTCAAATCCAACTCCAAACCACCAATCCTAAGCACCGATTGGGAAGCTGCCAAACAACCCTGGAAATCGACCATTTGCGTGGAACATGGGGATGAGCCGCTTGTGTGCCCAATGCCAATGGCCTACCGATGATGGTAAATCGACTGCTCACATGCGCCAACCTGAAACGATCAACATGAAATCAAATAAGAAAATGCAGCAAGCTCCATGCATGCCTTCCCTGCAAGCAGGCGCGGGTCCCACACCGGTGAAAGTACATGGCACAATTGTCCCGGGAAATACAGGGGATGATCAAAACCCAAATGGAAAGGGTGCCATCTACTTTCACCCGAGTGTATTCCAAACTTTGGGAGCACATTCCTTCAGACATCACACGCATCCGGCCTAAGTCCGGGCGTGAGCTAAGCCGAGGCACGCATCGAAGGTACTAGACTGCAAGAAGCGCTTCACGCGCATCATGACCGTGACCACCTCCTCCTGCGAGCCGAAACAACTTGCTGGTGCTCAGTAGGGAATGAGGGAACCACCCCTAGAAATCATCCCATGTGGTTTCCTTTAAGGGAATCCCTAGGTTCACTCCCTTTTTTCCTACCTCTTGCACCAGCAAGACAAGTAAGCACAAGTAAAACCAGCAACAACGACCCAAGCACTCGCCAAGTGGGTCCATGAAATCCGACAGGGCTGCGTGTCCGCCTTTTAATATCGAAAGAGGAAACAGGAAACTCATCCAACAGGTGGGCCAAAAGGTGATGTGTAAAGGTACTGAAACAGGGAGTTTGGGTAGGGGCTCGCCTCCGAAACCAGTAACAACCCTGCAACTGGGCCCTTGTGAAGTGGGTGGGCCAACGACCGGTTTCCATCAGCTAATCCCATAGCCCCGCTCGTTGCTTTGTCTCCAAGGCGAGGCCCCGCATACCCACTGAAAACGGGACTGCTTTTAAGCAAAGCTCGACAAACCGCTCGTGTCCCAAAAGCGTCCACGTCAGGGGCTCGAGATTTAAGCAACCGCTTGGAAAGCGCTGACCATTCACAAAGCGACACCGACCACCACTCTGGAATGTCCTGAAAGGAAGACACCAGTTGGATGCAAGGATGGGTCTCTTGCGTGCGGGGTTGTGGATGTGTTTCCCTACTAAGAATCCGCATAAAGGGCTATCCGAAGCTCTCCTAGGTCCTCCAGTAGAGAGGTTAGAATAAGGGTACCCTTTTCTCTGTAGTCTATTTTTAGTAGGGGAACTCTCCCCCAAAGAAGGGTAAAGGAAAAGGCACTCCTCACCGGTCTTTTGATTGCCGTTCAGCTTCTCCTCAAGACCTCGGTTTGCTTCTGGGTCAGATCTGGAGGCCCCTGCAAAAAGTCGTCCCCTTGCTGGCTGAAAGGGAATCAAAACCAAATTGAAAAGGCAAACAGTTCAATGTGCAGGCAAAGTCTAGACATCACATTTCCTCCAAATCTTTGGGAGGGCAAGCCTCTTGACATATTTCGTGGAATCCCTTCAAATTGAGAAGGGCCGAAGAGGAACACACGGAGTGACGTGAGGTCAGTTCTCACTCCCCCACAACAAATATATGGGTGTGTCTTGTTTTGGGGGTGCACCCTTTTTGTGGTTTTAGAGGGAAACCCTAAGGATATCCACCATTTTGGGTCCCGGTCCCCGAAAAAAGACACAAACCCATATGCCACAAAAGCACAAGGATAACAGACTTCTCTTCGATTCATGGGTGTGCCCTAAATTGAAATGGCTGAACCCACACAGTGAGTGGTTTCCCCCTTAGTTGCTTTCTAAACCAACCCCAAAGGGGTATCCTCCAAACACGCCACAGCGGCATCATGTCCACTTCGGATGAAACAAACCATCCAATCCAAAGGTGGCCAAAGGAGGATACATCCACTTTTGGTAGACCCCTTTTGGTAGACCCCTTTTGGTAGACCCCTTTTGGTAGACCCCTTTTGGTTTTCTCCATATGGGCCATGTATCCCATTTAGAATCAGGTCGCCATGGCTACCCCTGGTTTACCAACTTGCTTATGGCCCGTACCAATGGCCCATACAACTTTCCCTAGATGTTGGTTTCAGTGAGAGGGGATCAAGCTGTGCTTTTGCGTGTAAACACTCTATTGTGGGACCTTTTGGTAGACATCATTTACATGGTACTTGTGTTTTTGCAACCCATGGAGGAAGTCTTCCAAACCTTAGTTGTTACCTTCCGCTTGCCTGGACAGTTACCCCCCAAAATGATCCAACATTGTGTTCTCCCTTGTGGCTTTCCTTTAAAGCCACCAAAAAGGGGCAACCTCAAAAAGACGAGCCGCTTTTTTTCTCCCTGAAAGATCTGTCTTCCGTCCAAGTTGCACCCCGTCAGGTGCCCGGCACTGTTTGCAACGATTGATCTGTCGCTTAGGAAACGGGGCCCGTTACCCACCCCCCCTGGCGCCGTATTTCCCATCCCCAATACAAAGAGTCATGGGGATTCCCGGAAAGTGGCAACCACCCGCATTTGTTCGCCGTAGTTCCCATTGCCGAAAAGAGAAAGGCCTTGTGCCTCGTTCATCCCCAATACAAAGACTAGGTCCTCCAGTAGAGAGGTTAGAATAAGGGTACCCCTTTGTCTGTAGTCTATTTTAGGGGGAACCCTCCCAAAAAAAAAGAAACGGTACAAGGGCACCAATTGCTGGGGGTATAGAAGAGGACTTGTTTAGGAGCACTTGCTCCCATTCTCACAGAGCCAAGAGGCTCTTTGCCAGGATCGCTTTCTCGGGTTCCTCGAGCTGCTCGCCTGCGAACCCGAGCTGTCTTCCTTGTGTTGAACGGGTTTTGTTCTCCGAATGCACAAGCCAAACCCCCACCCAAAAAACCGTGCGATCGGGTAGAAGAATAGGGCTGTGGCTCAAAAAACCGGTACCAAAATGGAACCCTGGTAAGTGGAAACATGGACCAAAAGCTGTGGTTTGCCCCTGCTGTTTAATTTTGAGCCACACCCGTATGGGTCCCCATGTCTCTCCTACTTCGCTGGTGTTGCAACTGCAGCTGCAAGCTCATCTTGTGGCTTTGGGCTCATATGCGGGGCTTATCTTCATATGCGGGGCTTATACTCAGTTGCCCAAAGGACCCAGAACTAAAAGGTTAACCTTTTGGCACCTCTACTAAAAATGGACCAAAATAGAAAAACCAAAAGGTCAAAAGGTCGGCTTTGGACAACTGAGTATATGGTGACGTTATGTGGCCTGTTGCGCACAATCTGGCGTTCGTAGGGAAACCAACAAGAACACTAAGTCCGAAGGTGTATGCAAATCTCATTTATCTCACTTGCCAAAATGCACACAACGCGCGCACACACACAGACAAACACTCTCGCACACGCGTATGCGCACACGCACATGCACACGCACGCACACACGCGCACACACGGATGCAGTTCGGAGCCAAGGGGCTCTTTGCCCGGATCTCCGACTCCGTCGGAGTTTGGGGCTCACCTTGACCTGAATGAAGGCAAGACTCGGACTCTCTGGGACTTCTACCGGCTTAAGGGGGGCAAGGTTGAGGTTGTTCGAAGAATTCTGTCTTCCAAAACCAGAAGCCCAATCGATAACCCGATCCAAATGCTCCGGTCTTCCCAAACCCATACAGGAATGAACCAGCGTCCAAGCTCCCCCAGGCTCTTTCTGGCCCAATGTTTACAGGGGTGATTTGTTGAAGCCCGCTGCAAAGCGCGCTGTAACAAACAGAGCACAAACAATTGCGGATGACATACAAATTACTTTCTGGACTTCTAGTGTCGAGTTTAAAGATATCCGAGTTGCAGCTACGCTCTCTTGGTCTGGAAGCCAAGATAAGCATCCAACGAGGTTTGAGATCCTGGGCGTCATGTTCTTGTGTGTACTCAATTGGGACTGTCCTAAAAGTGTTGGTCCCGAGTTTCCCTTTTAGATATTGCAGCACATATATACGGGGTCTTTTGACATACGTCATGGTCAAAGAAGTCCGAATCGGGACATGGTCATGGTTTGCTACGGCAATCCTTACCCTTTTTGTGACCAAGTACGCCGGCAAAAGATGAACCCTACGTGTTCTTTACCACTATGGTCTTCTTCCAAAAGTGACCAAGCCCAGTTAAGTTGCCTGCTTGGACGTGAGCCCTTGGTGTTTTCAGGACCAACCAATTGTAGGGCGTACGCATGGTTGCCCCCCTGGCAGTTTCGAGTATGTCCCCTGAAGGGGGCCTATGGTTGCTGACCTTGTGTTCTGGTTTGCCTTCAAAACCATCCAAGAGACATACCTCCTGTGGATGGACAAAATCCTGCACCAAGTTGAAACCATGGGAAACATTTTTCCCCAACAGCTGAAAGCTTTGGGGTTTCAGCCCAGATAGGCTCCGGGGTGGTCCGGGGCGGCCCTGAGGTAAGGTTCCACAAGGGTTCCACCACCAGGGTTCCACCAGGGTTCCACCAGGGTTCCACCAGGGTTCCGCCGGGTTCCACGAGGTTCTGCGAGGGCTGCGGGGTGGTACGAGCACTAAAAAGAGCACCGCATGCTGTTGGGGATATCACCTGAGCTTATTTGTTGGTACTTATACAGGAGAATCGAATCATTCTAGGGTTTCTTGGGCGGTGCGAAATAAAATTTCGCAACCATCCACAGTACCACTCTGAGAAACCTACGGAAAATCATGGGTTCTGCCTTTCTGGAGGCCAATCCTCTCGCCCAAAATTTGCAATCCTATCTCAAGCTGCCGACCCTCAGGGTTCCGGAACCAACGCCACACATCTCCATGGTGTTCAACAGATCCTCCCAATTCAACAGATTCTCGCAATTCAACAGCCCTGGGTTGGCTCTTTCGCATCTCTTTGCCACCTGCGTTGTGTTTTTGTGTGCTTGCTCTAATACTTGAAAGCGGAATCCTGAACTGTTTGGACCATGAGCAACCCTTTTTGTGACCAGCAAGATCCGATACTCTGCCCCTCGCCTGTCTGCTTCGCAGAAATGCTTGTTTGCACCTGACGAGCGAGTCATCCCAAAATCTAACGTTGCGATTTTGAGTCGGAACGTGCACCTTGAATGACTAGACTTGTATTTACCCGGACTACATCTGAGGAACTCCCCCCCGAAAACGAAGTGATACCTCACTAAAGAAACCACCCCTCGCAGGTATGGTCCTCCATCCTCAATGCTGACATGAATGCATTGCAAACACCCAAGACAACTTCACACCAACCATCATATTCATGTTGTGTTGAGGGGTACCAACAGTAAACATTCGCAATTTGCCATTTTGAAGCTCCCATGTTAAGACACACCCTCAGGAGTTTGAAACAAAAGGCCCGAAACCGGCCAGCCGGTCTGGTAGCCATGGTTCATGTTCTCCGCAACTGCCGTGTTCATCTCTTGTTACCTGTTGCTCAAGGCTCACCTGCAAGGACATGAGACGAAACAGTTCACCTCTTGGGGCCCTGACCAAAGGGTTCAAAGGCCGGTTCAATTTAAAAAGTTGAGAAGCTTCGTCTGTCAACACCTGCGATGTCTGCATGAAGGCCAGACATGAGTAGTCCCAAAGGTGCGTGATATCTATACCTGACGCATACGCTGTGAAAAAGGAGGGTATTCAATGCGAGATGGCATGAATCTTGTTGCGGGACGTACGTACCTGGGGTCCTTGGTACGTAGGTGCGTAACAGGAACAGTACTTGACAAGCACTAGTAGCGTCTGGTGGCTCAATGTGGCGCAGAACAGCCAGCGCGTTTCCGCAGCTCTCCAACCAGGCGACGGCAAAAAGGAGGGTCGCTGGCCCTACCTTCGGTTGGGTATGTATTGAGGTATGCAGCGACTAACGAGGTATGTGGCGGGCCATGGCACAAAAGGAGTCGTTCTTCCGGCCACGCCCTGCTACCTGTTCCAAATTTTCTGACTGGCAAGCTCTCTGCAAGTTGCCTCTTCACAGGTATGTCCGGCGAAAGCATGGTCAACAGTCTGCTGTGCAGTCAGGCACACATAGGAAATCACTTAGAGTCTATGCATGCATCGGGGTATGCAAGGAGAGCATGCCACTAGCCAGGCGTTTTTTAGATATTCAGCGGAGCTATGAACGAGGTGCTCTGTTACAGACCCCTGAAACAAATCCGCTGCCCTCTTTTCCAGGCTTGCCAAACCCCCCTCCCTTGCGTCCAATGTGCTGCCTCCAAAGCAATGATAGATATTCCGTGGAATATGCTTTGGTGCTCTGAAACTGAGACATTGCAGCAAACCCAAACGTGCAACAGCCTTGCACTTGTATTTCCCTGCCAGACTGGACCTTAGGAGCCTTCGCATGATCTCTGTCTGCCTGTGCAACTCTTTGGGAGGGGAGCTTTCCGAACCAAAAACGCCGGTGTGGAGTTCGGCTCCTGAGCCTCTTCAAACAAAAGCAACCCTTCTCCATATGGCTGTGGGTCAAAAATAGGTTCCCAAAATGGAACCCTGGCAAATGGAAGCATGGACCAAAACCTGCGGTCCCCTGGTGGTGTAATTTTGACTCATACCCATATGCGCGGCCAACAAATCGTCTGCACCCTCGCAAAGGTGCGGCAAACCAACATGCTCGCTGAAAGGAAGGGTCCGCTGAATTGCTGGGTTCTTCACCTGCAGTCACCTAGTCAAGCTCCTAAAACTAAAAAACTGGTACAGTAGCTAAATGTCAGGCTATTGGAATACGCTGATAATTGAATGTATTTATATCTGGAATTCCTGTGTACTTCCATATTGATTCTGTATATCTGGGACACCCTTGCATTCAATATTGAAGTTGAATTCAGTTTTAAGAACATCTTACCTTGACAAGTAAGACTTAGAATCAGAGTTGCACTCATACTAGGGCGCAATGGACTGGCCAAGCATGCCAAATGTCTCACTGGAGCTAGGTTCTTTGTTTTCTTTAGCCAGGAGAGGAGTCCCTGAAGCAAAACACCCGGAAAAAAAAAAAGAAAAAAAAAAAAAAAAAAACGAAAAACATCCAAAGTTGGAACAACAACCGGGAAAAGCAGATCCAATTGTTGGAAAAAGTTGGTGTTTCAGGAAGTTTTGACACCTTACATGTGCAAAGCGGGGCGGTCGGTAGTCGGACGAGCCTACGATGTGAGTGGGCAAAACAACAGCACATCCAAGGGCACCTTGAAACCAAAAGGACACTGCTCATGTTTGATATTCCCCCAATTTGGAGACAAGCCCAACAACTCTTGAGGAACTTGCGATTCCACAGGGGAATCGTAATTATTTCACAATGATCCAAGTCCCTCAGCGAGGCAAACGCTATCAAAGCGGAGTTTGATACCCAGATCGGCAAACTTCAAGTTCCCGACAGCCTCCAGGGCCTGATTGTTTCGTGCAAGCTGCGCCTGCGACAAGAAAGGGCATTGAGGGAATCGTGCCAGTTGACACAGGCGCGGCCCGAGGGTAGAAACTTGGTTTGTGGTGGGAAACCAAAGGGGGCCAAAGCAAACCAAGGAAAACCAACCACATTAATTTTCTCTGCGTTCTCCGGGAAGGGTGGTCACCTCTTTTGATAGCAGGTTTGCCTTAGATTGGTCCAGAAAACAGCCACATCCGTCAACCTGGTCGGGCTCAAGAAAGCCCTTCAGTCTAAGGATAATCTCCTTCACTACTGCTCTAAGTGTAAGCTCAGTCAAAATGGAGCCAACAAGCCCATCTTTGAGTCGAAATTTGAGATATGCGGGCGACGGCCGTGGTTTTTGTTTTTGTTCGCTTTTTGTGAAAATCGAAGAAAGCCTACCTTGTGCTTCACATTGCTTCACAACATCAGTTTGGACCTGTGTCAGACCGACTACTTGGCTGCAGGGCGCCCCAAAGAAATGCTTGATCATCCCAATCCCCACTAAAATAGACGAAAATGGGTGGTGCACCTACCCCAAAACGGTACCATTGGTTGTTTACCCACAGCCAAATGTGAAGTTTAAACATGGCCAAGACGCATCCTTATTTTACCAACCCTGTCAGTGGTTGGAGATGGAAACTCAAAATCGGCAAGTGATAGTGACCCTGTTTTCGTCCCAAGAAGCAGTTTCGACTGAGAAAGAGCCAAGATCCGCGGCGAGAGACGAGTGCCGGAAAGTCATCCGCGCATCTTTCTAGGGGGTGATTCCCCGCTCTTTTCAACCATCGTTCTTTTCAACAACCCGCTGTTCCGCAGGGTTTTGGTCTTTTTTGTTAGAAAGAAGGATGCCTGGAAAAAATGGGGAAGGTACCCCTAGAATCTTTCCGCGCTCCTCCCCAAATCTTCCCTGAGCCCCAAGGACATCCACTGAGGTTTGCCGAAAACACGCGAGCCGCACGAGTGAACCAAAACCAAGACCAAGCTGCAAGGCTTCCCTGGCTCGCGTTTCATAGGATTCCAAACCCACGCGACGCCCATGTCATTCCACGTTTCCACAAGATACCACCCTTTTTCAGGCCCCCCCTCAATCATTGTGTTGTTGTCTCTTTTTTTTTGTGTGTGTGTGTGTCTGATATGGGTTTGTGTGTTGTTTGAGGCCCGGTACCTGTTGCAGGTTGCTCTTTTTCCAGGAACCTAGATCAAACATGGGGCTCCAAATCCCCCCTCTTTCTGGGAGCAGGACACGCAGCACATCGTTCTCCGCTTTCACCTCGGCTGCGAGCCCTCGTTTTCAAAGTCGGCGCCCCGAAATGTGGGGCCGGTTTTTCAAGGGAAACACGACCATTTTGCGAGTGCTTCTATTTTGGCACATCCACGTGCGAGCAAAATAGTCCTTGTAGCTGGCGAATCGCAGTGCCCTTTTGTTCAAGGGACCTCTGGACCAGACCTTGAAAGGTAAGCCGCCAATACGGAATCAACAAAAGGGTATATTTGTGGGGTAAATAAGCTGCAAATTTAACGGAAGTATCATAGTTCTGTGTTTTCGGGGTCTGTTTTCGGGGGCCGGGGAACTCTTTGACAGTTGGGATGGAAGTGCTGTATCAAGCAGGGTTTCATCCATCACTGGGCCTGGATTTTGTCCATCCACAGTCGCAACTGATTTGCCCGGGTCCTCTATTTTTATAGCACACCCATCTTCGACTCGCTGCGTGAAAGGATATGAACAAATCGGGAAAGTGTTTCGGCCCCACGATACTTATACCCCTGTTCCTTCAGCATGCCCTCAAGAAACGCAACGGTGCACTTCTGGCAAAGTGAAGTTTTGTTATAGTTGGCGGTGGCTTGTAAAGGGCTAAACTCATAAACAAAACGCGAACATGCTTGCCTTCTGATCACGACTTAATTTGGGATTAGAGTGCCTCACAACTCCATGCTAATCACTTAGTAAGTAGATGCCGCAGAACGCTGAGAACAGAAAAGGTCCAGGACAAACTCACAAATTGGGCCGTCAGATTCAAACGCTAGTTTGATGCTTGCAAGCTTCGCGCTTGCCTTCCCATAGACACAGGAAGACCCCAAAACTTGTTTGCGTTTCTGTGATTTCCATTTAAGCCCAACCCGAAAAAGGTAGCCTCAGAAACAGACACTCCCGAGGTACAACTCCGAGGGTTCAAAACCAAGATCTAATCTGGAGTCAGCCACTCGACTGCCTCTCAAGGCGCTTGAGTCAAACCAGGCCTGCGAAACTTCAGCATCGGATGGCTTTTTGACAGGGCAACGCGTTGGATCGACCTGGGGCCTAAGGAAGCTCGGTCTTTGTTTCTTTTTTGTTCTTTTTTCCCCGGACACGAGAGACTTGAAATCAACCTTGAAACCCTGAGGATTGAAATGTGTAGTGTTTACCCCATATCAATCAACCCCAGTTTCTTTGTAGGGGGGTGTTCCCCTCCAAAAGTCATGCATCCCCACTAAAACCAGGCACAACCCCCCCATACTGATAAACAGGGTTGATTCATATGGGCTAAGACATTACCCTCCGATAGGGGAATGATATCAAAGGTGATGAGTTTCCACAGGCGCTCTCCAGCGCGCTCCCAGGCCCGGCTTGTTCACTCCCTGTCAAAACCCCAGCATCCCAAACCCAGATCCATTTGGCTGTGGGTCAAAAGATACCCAAAACAGAACCCTGTTAACAAAAGACCCATGGAAGAAAAAACAAGCGGTCCCCGGGTCGTTCAAAATTTTGACCCATTTGTGCAAAGAGGAAGACTCAGACTTGCCACTGGCCGCATTCTTTTACCAGCTTCAAGGGAAGCATACCCCAGTTGCTGACCATCAAAAACGCCCAGAAACCGGTCGCCAAGACAAGGACCCCAGTACCATTTCTTACACAAGTGGATGGCACATCTTCCTGGCCCCGGCCCCGGTTTCTTCCGGTCCGCCCGGCCTCCGCAAGGTCACGCAAGTGTCGAGCTAGCAGTTGGTCCAGCAGGGCGTGGAAGTCCTGCGACCGGACTGGGCATGAGCCAAAGCACCAAGGACCGCAGGTTTTTGGGGTCAGTGGTTATTTTTTTCCTTTTTCTCTTTTTACGGGTCCATGAAGGTCATGAAGGGTACCGATTTTTCACCAGCCAGGGAGTGACATGAAACAGCTGGGGGTGCGATAGATTGCGATAGACTATCTCCAGTTTCAACATCGAGCGGCCGGAGACCTAAGTTTCCGAACGAGCGCGAACCCTCCAGTTGGGTGAAAGTAAATGACGCAGTTGCCGACACTTGCTGAGTACAAAGTACATGAGCTTGGGAAGTGAGCTACATACAAACAACATATTTAAAATTTAAGCTGGAAAGAAACCTCTAAGTACAAATTCACCGTTCCGAGTGCTAAACGAGTTCAACACTTGGTGGGATCCACATTTGGGGCTTCCAACATGGATTGAAGTTTCCAGGAACAAAACAAATCAGCGCATGGGAGGTTTCCTTCCCGCCATCCCCCCTTCCCCCCCCCCGTTTCCTGGGGCCCAAAGAAATCGACCGCAAGTTGTTCATAGTTGGGAAACAAACGAAAAAACCGTCCAGATTACTATACTTGGTTGCTGTCTGCGCCCCTGCAAAAAGTTTAACTTTTAGTGGTTTAATGGAAAACACATGAGTTTGCAAAAAGTTAAAGTCCTAACATACAAGCAACATGCACCAAAGTATGCTTCCATCGTCTATCTGGGCAAATTCCTGCAACCCCCAAACCGGACAATTTCATCCCCACCCCGTTAGGGGGGGAGGGGGAAGTCTGGAAATGTAGTTTGCAGTTTCCGGGGTTTGCCGCCTAAAAATGTAAACTTACATTTTCTTCTGGAGACATGCCAAAATGTAAGATTACATTTTGGACCATGGTGGGCTCGTCAGCAAGGTACCTCACACATAACCAGCTTACATTTTCTCGAAAATGTGATATTACACTTGCCAGGTGCTTGACTAGCACGTGGGGAGATTGGATGTGATTGGACATGCAGCGAATTTCTCAACGGGACTCAATGTAAGCTACATCTGCCCCCCCCCCCCCCTCACACCTTCAACGCTGACCCACCCTGTCAGACTTCCAAAGGAATCATGGGAAATATACGGAAATCAGTCATTATCCTTGAACATGTCAATCTGTGTTTCTGCTTCTTATTCTTTTTCATTTTTTTCTTGGGAGGGGGGGGGGGGGAGAAAAAGTAACTTTCTACGTGCCGAGGTGTCAAGCTACATTTCAACCCGCCCCTCCCACAAAAACCGCAAATACACACCTGGGGGGTCCCTTATATATACAATACAATATGTGTATATATATATAAATACATATATATAATATAAAATAATATATATATATATAATATTTGCGGGGGGGGAGGAAATGCAAACAATATATATTTTCGGACGTCCCCCCCCCCCCTCCCATTTTCGGGGCCCTGGCGGGGGCTAGGGATAAAGTCCCAAGGCCCAAAGTGTGTTTTGCCGGGGCAAGGAACTATTTACCCAAGCTCGGATGTCATGGACCTGCAGGGGGCGAGGGGAAACTGGGGGGGGGGGGGGGTATCACCTATTTTACCCTAACAAGATGTTGCTCTCGGCTCATCCTTGGCTTCTCAGCTCGGTTTATCCAAGCCCCGTCCCCCCGGAGATTTCTGCTGGGTGTCTTGAGTTCCATGCTGTTCCTGCGGTCAAATGAGCTGACGTGCGGTTCTTCTGGGGAAATCAATCTGTAAAGGGGCGTTCTTCTTCCGGGAATCAACATGTCAAGTTGTTTGTTTCTCTTCTTCCGGGAAGCCAAAAGGAGACCCAAACGCAACGCCCCCCCCCCAAACTGCGGTTGCACGGGACGCCCCTAAAAAAAAAAAATATTGGGTTTCCCGGAGCTCTCGAGCTCCAAAATGGTGCGCCACAAAATCGGCAAGGAACCCTACAGAGGGTGGGCGCTAAGAGGCACGGCCTACGAGGGTGGGCTAAAAAGAAAAACGCTCCTGGTAAAAGGTCCAAAAGAAGGTCCTTTCAGGGAAGATGTTTGCTTTCAAGAGAGTAGAGCCTGAGAGGCATTCTTCCTTACCATATCTTGTGAGGGCCCATGTTGGTTCTCAGGAGACGATGTTGAACATGCGGCCAAGGACTCAGACAAGATTGTCAAGATTGTCACCGTTTGGTCTGCCACGAAAAAAGCGACCAGGAAGTGCCAAAGCCCAGATTTCGAGAATTGGCCGATCGGCCGGGACTTCAGCAATCAGCTGGTCCTTCTCGCCATCGTTCTCTTCACCTGAGCTTGCACCAAATGCGGCAGCTGGCATTTGCTGAAATTTGGGTGAAGTCTCACATCCCCGGATGCCTTTTTTGAGGGCCCCCATTCTCGACCCAAGTGTCATGACAACACCCCATTCATCCCTATCTTTCCGCGGGATCCGAAGGCACAACTGGTCCAAACCGTGACGAAACCAACAGCTGCGATCGGCCAAGCCCCGAAGCTCCCAAGCCTCGGATTTATTTTTTCTTGGTTGACGGTGGGTTTGGGGAGCCAAACTCTCAAATTTTAGCAGTTCAGTGTTTTATGTTTTTTAGTTTAGCAGTTCAGCGGATTTGGATTTCAACCACTCAACCACAATATGCAAAAATGGGGAAACATGTAAAACCCAACAACAACCATGATATCGTAGCATAATCTTTCCTGGATGGCAGAGGTGTCTCTCAGGAATTCAACATTGACAGGGGGCGTCCTATTCTCAGATGCCCAGTGGCCAGGGGAAAAAAGGGCATCCTGAATTTGGTTGGTTGAGTTTAAAGGAAACCCTTCCCCCAAAACAAGGAGCAAAAGGGGCACCACTGGGCAACTGGGTACTACATCCAGGGAAAAGTCACCAAAGAATAGATCTATTGTGGCAACCATGTTATGCGCTCCCAAGACCCCTCACGTCTTTTGCGTGCGCCCAAAACTCTTTGGGTGGAGTTTCAACGCCGGATGTTCTGGGACCCACCAAAAAGAAAGAAGATGAAGAGAGGAAACCTTTGAAACGAAAGCCTACTAAGCAGTGTTCGCTTCATCATCGATAAGCTGTCCCAGAGCGGGAAATCCAGAACATCCGAAGCTTACCGCCATCCGCATCCAGTCAGTGACATCCTCATGGTTAAAGACAAACCAGGGCCCAAACGAAATTTGAGAATGGGTCCCTCAAATCACTTACCACCACTTCAAGGGCCCCAAATTGGAGCCAACCACTTCAAGGGACCTCCCCAAAATTGTTTTGTTTTTTTGTTTCTTTCTTTCGGGTACCCTGACATACCAAGAAGAAAGACTTCTCCTTAGCAAGTAGGACCCAAGTCACGGTTCTGACTTAGGTACGTGCTGCCGGATCTAAGTAGAGACCGTCCCAAAAAAATCGGGGGGGTGCTCCCTCCAAAAGTGGGTCTGAATCCCCACAAGGAGACACCCCCCTGTGAATGAAGGAGTTTAGAAAATCGGGGGTCAACATGATTTGACCCCGGGCTTTGAGGGGCCGATGCTCGCGTCGCTGAGATCCCAGACGCACTCCATGGTTCCAGTCGCCAGCCACCGGCCTCCGATTCGAAGCTCCAGAAAGCAACGACGAAACGACCGCGGCAACCAAAGCCCGAAGAGCTTCATGTCGAACAAAAAAGGAACGGGATAAACCCAGGAACTCGGTTTAGTGTAGAAAAAAGAACAGGATAAAACAAGGAACTCGGTTTAGTGTCAAACAAAAAGGGAACGGGATAAAACAAAAAGGGAACCTCCAGCTCCCTTGGCGCCCTGTGTCTAGTTACTTTGAAACATCCCTATGTCCTCCAAGGCGTCGAGGAACAAAGGTATTAGACTCGTGGGCTGTTGGTTGTTGCCTGTTGGTTGTTGCTAGTTGGCTATTCACAGTTGGCTTTTGGTTGTTGGTTGGCTGTTGGCTCTTGGTTGTTGGCTGTTGGTTTGTGGTGGTTAGCCTTTCGTTGTTGGCTGTTTATTGTTCAGTGCTGGTTGTTGGCCTTGCTCGCTGTTGGCTGTTACTCGCCACTCCTTTTTCCATTGACTCGCCACCACAGAAAACAAGGTCGGCGGCGCAGGGCACAGGCCTTACACAACATGGTCACATGCTTCATGAAGTTTGAAATGTCAGAGTCATTTTAGAGGTCCCGAATGACCTCTTCGGAACGGACCATGGCGTATGTGCCAAACAACATCTGGAGGAAATCAACATGAACACATGAAGGTGGTCCTACAGTTGTGATCCACACCCAAACAAGCAATTGACAGACTAACATGGTCTGGAACTGAAGGAAATCAGGACATGTAGCAGTTGTCCCCACATGATGGAGTCAGTCGGGAATGAACAAATTCCAGGGCACCAGCGTCTAATGAATGATCAGCCCAAAACGCATTTGGAATCAAAGCCAGATGGTCTTAACCGTTTCTGCAAGCACCTAGGTTGCACAACAGTAAAACTAGGCATTGTTGGGAACAAATTGCATCACCTCAACTGTGATTTACTACTTGTCATTTTCGCATGGGAAAAACAACTTCTTATTAGTCCTTATTTTAAAAGACAACTTTTCCAGAAGAGCTTGAAGCAACGCGTTTCAAAACATACTAGGGCCTCAGCTGGTTAGAAGGGGTTGAGGGGCGATTAAACCAAATGACCCCATCATGGGAGAATCAACTAGGCATGTATTCGGGTGCGTTTTTTGGGGGGACTCCCCCAAATCGGTGGCTCCTTTTGGTTTCCACTTTAAACCATCAACAAAGGGGTGCCCTCAAAAAAGACGCATCTTGCCTCTTAGAATAAATTGGCGGCAGCAAAACGGATGATAATCAAATGATCAGATAGCGGCCGATAAGACGCGGGCTGTTAAGCCCTACGCAATCCAATGATCTCTTGCCATGCGCGTCTGCGCAACTGGCGAGGGCAGGAAAACACAAACATCATACTCCAAATGGCCTGCATGTTTGCCTAGCATGTGAGTATTTGCAAAAGACTTGAGCCTTAACATGGCGCGGCCATCTTTGTGGTCTTCCTTTCACCAAAGATATCTGAAGGGTTCAATTTAGGACGGCCCCCCTCGAATTTGCCGTGGACACCCGCACGCACGAGCCGTCGATCCGGCTCTTCAACTTGCCTTTTACTGCAGCAGTGTCCACGCGCAATCTCCGGAACTGGGTTGCTCCAAGAATGGTCCAAAACGGGGCAATCCGGTCACAAAGACCATGGCAACTAGGGGAAGACAACGTCCCACATAAGAAGCGGTCAGACTCCAAAATGGTTCACTATAATCTTGGTGTCTTATACGGATGTGTATATGGGCGTATCATTTTAGGGCCCCCCCCCCCCCCGCCCCCCCCTCTTCGAAATCGTGGTTCTCCCTGTGGCTTAAAACCATCAAGGTCCTCTCAACAAAGACACCCCTATATTACATATATATATATATATATATATCAATATCGTACATTCCAGGCTTCTCCTTCAAAAAACATCTTCCATGTTCGGTCGCACCCGCCCGGTGTGATTTCATTCCCCAGTTCGAAGGACCTGGATTCTCCGAATCAGCCGCTTGTGAACATAGGTGTCCTTTTAGGTTGGAAATGGATTTCCCTGGTAGATGATTAAACCACCAGGTAAAGCAGGGATCGCCATCGATTTTTCGACCAAATCAACCAAAAAGGACACTTATGGTTGTGAAGCTCAAAACAAATCTGAGGTCACAGGGCTTTTAGGATCTGTAGCCCTGGGAACCATTTGGATCTCGGAAAATACAATTTCGTGCAAGAATCCGCCCAAACAATGACACAGTTTACTCTATTTCGGGCAGCACAGAATTTGTCAGGGGAACTCACAAGGAGATTGGTCGAAGGCAAAACTGCAAACCAAACCTACAGGAATTTATGTAATCTTGAGGCTTTCAAAGGAAAAGCTTGCGTAGTGTTCCATGTTCTACCCAAACAGGTGTTGAGCTTCTTTCAAATATGGGTTTTTGACCAACTGGGTGACCTGGGTTCGAAAGTTAACATGGGTTGCCTGTCGCGTACGTAAGAACCGCGCTTGCGATCGGAGCCCATTCGTTTATTCCCCGTTCGACTCGTCCCAAATGGTTGGCCATGTCGGGACTCGCATCCAGCCTTTGGTCGAATCCAGCGCCTGAGCGGGTTGCGGACTTGACGGCATCCAGCCGTTGAACCGTCACTTTGGTCAGAGCTGCTGGTGTTCGTCGAAACGAACACTCACCCCAACCAACTAGCCACTGTTTTGGGTCCAAACCCAGGTTGAGTCAACAAGCAGCCAAAGCAACAAGCAGCCAAGACTTGCCACCTAGAACGCCAACACAAGTCCTGAACCACACATCCAAGTTCGCCTGAACTCCCAAAACCTGAGCAAGGCGCCAATCTCAGGCTTCCAGCGAGGTCCAGCATTGCCGGCCTCGATTGACTTTGGCTCGATATCGACGTTGGGAAATGGTCGTCTTTCTCAAAATTAGTTGACATCCAGGTGGTTGCTTCCTTGTGGCTTCGATTGACAACCAACCAAACCCCGAAAAAGACACACCCGAATAAAGGGACCAGAGAGTTTATAGAGGGTTTCTACCCTTTTTTGGGGGGCGCCTGTTCGACTTTTAGCTCCCTTTCAACCTGAATGAGTCGAAATCTGGGCGCGCGGAAAGGAGCCCAATACCAACTTTCGACCTGTTTTGACGAGTCTGAACGGACAGTAAAAGAACACCGAGTATCTGGAGGAGTTGACTCTATGCCTACATCGACTCCGTAGCCTTATGTGCCTCATGATCACGACTCAGCTAATACAGAGCCTTACAAAGGCTTAATGTAGATCCTTTACTAAGCTATGGACGACCAATATTGGTAAGCCGCAAACCAGGTTCTTAAAGCACGGCACCTACATGGATCAAACACCGAACAAATGCGTTTCCTACCCTCACTATATAACGTGCTCGAGCAGCGCTCAGCCCCCAAACAAGCAAGGACTCACATCTACTTCCATCTTGTTGGACCAGGGCAAAGGTATGTAAAGCGCTAACCCAAACCAGACCAGGGAGGAGACCCCTACACGATAGGCAAACACTTTCGGGTTGGGACAGTAAGTCCGGCACACAAACTTTCAGTCTCATGGTTGGCATCCGGAAGTGGGTCTGTCGACCAAGGCGTGGAGTGAGCCATTCATTTCCAGCAAAATCCTCTCAAAAGGGGGGAGCTTATTCATCCTGGGTCCTGAGCTGTGAACAAAGCGACCCCTTGGTTTTTAGAAGACAGGGCACTAGGTCAAGGCGAGGTCTCCATCCTTCATTGCGGCATTATTTTCGGTCGCTTTGGGTCGCTGTTGGTCCTTTTGGTCGCAGGTTCTGATATGCGGAAACCCATGAAATGAAACAAGGGGCGCCCAAAATCCGCGAGACCGATAGCCCGCTTTTTGGCCCTTTGCTCACATCTCGCCCAAGGATCCAACGCAATCCTAGTTGGCTCCCAGCTACCTTTATGGTAGAGGTGACCGGGATCCGTGAGTTTTCACGAATGTTAACCCCGCATTGATTACATTTGGCCCTGGTTGATGAATGGAGGTCCCATGTTCGATGAATCCTTTGCATCTGGAAGGGGGGGGGAATGATGTCCGACCACTTTGGCAGGGATCGTTACATTATACACCTGAACATTGCCTTGTAAATGGGCGCGTCCCTTTATTTTGCCGGAAAAAGCAACATGTTTCAAATGGTTGCACAATGTATCTTTTAAGAAGCCCCGGTGGCTTTTTACTGCAATTCTGCCATGACCCAATGACCTCTAGGTACTAATGACCTCTCATCTCGTCGGACAGCATACCGGGCTTCTCCGGAATCTGGACGGGCCGAAATCGAAAACCTATATTTTGTCCTGCCTATTGGGCCTGCAAGGTACATATTTACCTCTGTACCGCGACAAAAACTAATCTCTGACCATCCGAGGCCCCGACCATGTCCGCCGAAATCGCGAAGACTCGCGCGTTGGGCCGCCGCTCGCTCGGCGCGACTAATCGGGGCCCTTGCTTTGAAGTCAGGGGAGACAATTCATGTTGGTTTCCGCTTTCTTTCTTTTTGGAAACGGACCTGCAGGGTTTGCCTAATGAATCAACTTCCCTGGCAGCCTATGTTGCCCTATGTCTTTTGCACTTTTGCGCCTGGGTGCGTCTCAACACCATCGATAGCTGGCCCTATTGAACTCTCAGACACACCATGATAATTCCCCCAAAGGCAACCCCAAGGAGGAAGTAGCCAGGAAAGGGAGCGTCATGTTGCCCATGTCTGGAGGGCAAGTGTACGGGGCCTGCCGTTTCGATTGTCGTCCTGTGAGCCATGGAAGGGCGAAACAAGTAGCTCGGCGCGTCACAGGCGGTCTGCGGAAAGGCAAAGGCTGGTCTGCAAACGGGAAGTGGTCTGGATGCTTGTTGAATCCAGCCAAAAGGCAAAAACGGGTGTGAGTTGACCTTCGCGAGGGGGGCTACCACAAATGCGATGGCAGAAGCTTGTGCAGTAGGATTCTTGCCGAGGGAAGGATCAGATTCCTAGATGGGCTCAAACACATAGATTCCAAGCCTGCTACAAAGATTGTGATACAATGAAGCTGGAACCTGGTTCTTGGAGCCAAACCAATCCACGAAAATCGGTGTGCGAGACTTTGCTTCATCCCCCTGCCGTTCAATCCACTTTAATTTGTCATGGGTACTGGGACTCAGGGTTTTTTTTCTTTCTTTTTGGGGGGTGCATTCCCTTGAGACCGAACGACTCATCCCATGTCCCTTCTTGAGACCTCACCGACCCTGCCGACCGAACGACTCTGGGGCTTTGGGCTGAGGTCCAAGTTCTCGAGCTGCCGCAGGTTGAAGAGCTCCGGGGGCCAACTTCTGAGGCCACGGCAGCTCAGGTCCAAGCCTCCACCATCGATCATCGCGCGAATTGAAACAAGCGCCGCTCCCCGGCGCGAAGAGAAGCCGCCGTCTTTGTTTTGTTCCCCCAAAAACGCGAAGAGAAAGCTGAGGGGCTGCGAAACTCCACCCGGCCGGGTGGTTGAAGGGCAAGATTTGGCGATAGAACATCGGCCATGGAAACGGCAACGGGAAGCTCTTATTACTTAATTTGTTTAGGAGGCAAATCGGACTACCCCCAAGGCTTCGGTTGTAAAAAAAGTAAAATGTGTTCAATGGGCCAACATCCACTGGACGGACGGGAAGCTCAACATGAAAAGCGGTCCCACATGTTGAGAGACCTCCACTTATTTATAGTTGTGTATAGCAGGGCTAAACAATTACCTATTGCTCCGACTGATTTTTGTTTGGAAGTACCCCACAACCCTCACAAAGGTTGGCCGAAAGAAAAAAAACAGGTCTGAACTTTTGATTTATTTTTTTGCTTTTTACCACCATGGTCCAAACCCAAAAGGGCTAAAGTCCACAAACTCAGGACGGCAACAGTCCCAGCTCCAGCTCCCAAGTCGCGCGGCCATGCGCGGGCATTGGTGGCTCTGAGCCCCGGGCTCTTGGCGTTGTTCCGCCGGGCGCGGCGGATGGCCAGCGACACGTCCCCGGACTCCATGGCAGCAAGGCTGAAAGCTGCTGAAGCTGAAGCGAGGGGGATCGATCTGAAGCGAAGGGTACCTTTTTTTTTATAATAAAGGAACCCCTTGGTGTTTCTTTGCTTTTTGTGTTGTTTTAATGAGTTGTGGTGAGATTGGAACCCCTTGTTCTTGTAGAAAATGGGAAAGCATCCAACATGCAAACAACCAATCCACACCACCAATCAGAGGAAAGCTGATAGAAGCCCAATTAAGTGCTAGCTTGGTTGACGTTGAGGGGATTTCCCACTAAACCACGATATGCAAAAATGTAAAAACATGCTTCCCAACAACAACCATGCCAAGTGCTAGGGGCTGTTGTTCGAAGGTGTGCTAATGTGTCAAAATCGCGCACGGTTTCCAGGTGTGGATACCGAGACGAGACGGTTCCAGAAAGGCTTGGGGAAGCTTCGGCAAGCTACTGGAATACCTCCTGGTCTCCAATTTGCTTGTGTACTTGGTGGCAGTGGCTGGTTCCTTGTTGATTCCAGGCTCAGCGAAACAAGCAAGCGTCACCAAAATCAGACCATTTACCACTGGGCTTCTAAAAGAAAGATCTTAAACCGTTGAAGACAAAGCGCCAACAACCAAAAACAGTTCTGAGTGCCTGCATCTACCGTATTTACGGCGCACTGAGTCGGCTGACACTGCAAACAACGTGCCAAGTGCTGCATGGTACCTACGAGTGGCTCCGCACTCTCCAGGGCAATGCTCAAGTACTAAGCAACTTACGATAGTTCGTGTGAGACCAAACAAATGGTTCCGCGTTGACCGGATTTGGGCTGCCTAGCAAGGGAGAACTCAGGGCTACGTTTCGAGCCTCGAACTCTCCGCGCTGACTGAAGCGGTTGCGCAGCAAGGCGATTGCATGCCATTTCACTAAGTGAGGCTTGCAAGGGAGGCAGGAAATTGACACAAAGCACCTTCCAAACGAACAGGCGCTATGGAGAACAACATCGCCACCATCATCATCATCATCATCATCATCATCATCATCATCATCATCATCATCATCATCATCATCATCATCATCATCATCATCATCATCATCATCTCCGAGAAACGACAGCGACATCAACAGCAGCAACAGCAACAGCAGAAGCAACAACACAATCCTGGGCTGTTCAACACACCGGGTTGTTGCACATCAGAGGGAAACCCAAGGAAAGGATTCGTATTTGACTTTGGAGCATCGCCTTTCCGAGTTCAAATGGGATAGGTCGGGAGGCCTTGGCTCAACCACGTGGTGGGATGCAACGACGCTCTGGCCGGAGAATGGACCTTCGGAATTCCGGCGGTTTGCCAGTGGCACCGCGGAAATCTAAGGCCCTGAAACATGTAACAAGGAGCTCTCGAAATGTGTTCTGCCCGGTGATTAGACGTGCACCAGGTTCTTCAATTGGGTGTGGGTCAAAATTAAACCACTAGGAGACAAAAGCTGGCTTTAGTCCATGTTTCCATTTACTACGGCAACCCGTTTTGGGGTTACCCTATTCTTGACCACCATGGCCAATTGGGTGAAACACATCAAACCTTTCGGCTTGTAAAGTCGACCTGTGACCTGTTGCTTAGTACTTGACCCTACGGGAAGAAAGGAACTGCGACATTGGATCTGGATTCCCGAAAGCACGGGTTTGAGGAGCAAAAGTGAAAAGCTGCAAGTTAACATGGAACCTGAAAAAACAAATGGCTGTGGGTCAAAAATTGGTACCCAAACTGGAACCCTCGTAAATGGAACCAAGGACTAAAACCTGCGGTCCCCCGATGGCTTAGGTTAAGTTAACATGGAACCTGAAAAACAAATGCTCAGAAGTAGTTTGGGGAGTCCGAACCCCGCCATTTCCCACCCCGACCCGAGGCAAGGGCTGCAAAGAGCGCCACCTGCCCGCGGAGCGCATGAAGCAGCTCACCTGAACTCTTCGACACAGACTCCGCCCAACTCCGTAACCCCTCTTTGGACAAAGAACGATGTAAAAAAAAGCGAACAATGCGTTTGAGCACAGGAAAGTAGCACTAGCTATTCTGGAATATGACTTGACATTATGTTACAAATCATGTAGCAACTGGAATCATTGCTTCCAGTTGATACCGTACATCAGTATGCAAACTAATAGTTGGTTTATCGCGATTGAGAGATGATGGTTTGCCCGCATACGTATGGTGACTGGAAGCACTCGGTTTGCGCAACGAAATCACGAACCGCAGCCAATGCAAGGAACTGGACTCGTGAAGGGATTCCAAAACTCGCGGCGGTGTATGGCTACAAGCAATCTTGAGGCTGTCGCTTGGCAACCCGTAGCCACCAACATGCCAGGGCATGAAGACCTTATTCATGAGAACACGATCCAGAACCGGAGCCCTGAAGCGAGCTTGGGTTTTCTATTTGTTAAACGTTTGGGTCGTTGCCAATAGTGAACTATTGATGGAATCCCGGAATACATTCCTGTTTTAGATTTTTGGAGGCAATCCGGATCCCCCTTTGGGGGAGTTGCACGCCAATGGCACACCAGCTTGAATAATCCCACTTGACCGCGCTGGAGTTGCGTGGCTTAAACCTCAACCGCCCATCAAAAGCCCTTTGCAAGGCAAAGAGGCATGTTGACCCTGGATTGCAGAGCCTGCAGATTTGTTTCTGGGGGCTGTTCCCCTTGAAGCGATCCCGATCCCTCTTAAATTTATTCACCGAGGTCCATTTGACGGTGCCGGATCTGGCACCTTCCGAAAAAGCTCCGGATTCGGCGAATCACTCTTCGGGGTCCAAATTGAACCTGCTGGGGGTTTCATGGCCCGACTGTAAGGCAGTGCCTGGTGCACAGGGTGAATACGCTGAATGGAAGAACCCGGGGCCGGGGAGACGTCACCTCGGCTTCCAACTTGATTTAAGGTGATCCTCAAATCTATGACAAGCTCACTTCCCGGATTGGGTGGTCCCCAAAAAAACCAGACTTTCCTTTTACCGCTACGAGTAAAGTGGTCTGGAACACACAAAGAAGTTGCTGAAAAGAACTCAGGAAGTAAGTCAAGGTGAGTTTTCGACTGACCCAAATTGCATCCCTTGAGGGACTCTGGTGGCATTGCCGAGGGACATCCGCGAGGCGCTCGCAGAAGCGCAAATCCAGGCGCGAGAGGTGTGGGCAGGTCCTCAAGAATGACTGGCATCTGGGAATCGTTTCAGTTGGGCCCCAAAGCTTGGCAAAACATATTTTTTAGCAGTTCAGTGGGGATTTCCCACTAAACCACAATAAGCAAAAATGTAAAATGTTTCCCAACAACAACCATGAAAGGCACCCGGACAAATTGGTTGGTTTCTTGTTTCCTGTCAACCGGCGCCCCACATTTTTGGGGGGTTCCTCTCACTGCCACCCGCTTGTTTGAACATAAATCAGCTTCCATCTAAATGATTAGGTGGCGCTTCGGGTGGATTCCCCAAATCACCAATCCAACCACCCCAGAAAGGGTGCCCGCAAACGTCACACATGTGCTCTGGGAGCGGAACAACCTTGACCAAGAAAAACATGTACCGCAAATGAGCCAATTTGGGACGTAGACTTGGGGCGTGCAACCTGGCTTGTCCCCATTCCCGCACATTCCCAGACCCAGAAGGGGCTACGGGTGGCTTCGCCCTTGAACCTCTAATCCCTCCACAAAACACCAATCTAATCCAGAGTTGCCGCGTTTAGGTATGGCTCGAAAGAATGGAATCCCCCAAAATCCCAACATGAGTGGGGCGCCTGTGGTTTCACTTTAGCGCAACCCCAACAAGTTGCCTGGACAAGACAAAAATACAACAAACACTCGGACCGAAGTGAACTGAGGCCGCCACTCACACAGCACACGCACGTGACAGTCCTGCCGCCAAGAACAAAAAACCAAGCCCGGGGTCAGTGGGTCACGGGCCACTTCAAGTGCTTGCTGGGTTGCTCAGTGACAAATGAGATGGCCATTTGGGCACGATCATTGAAGGCAAACCCCATCCAAACTAAGGGAAAGAAGGCGACACCGTAACCCATGATCTTCAGGGATCGCCCTTTAGGGTGAGGTCGCAAGACCTCGGCTTTGTCCGGCACAGCAAATGGCTTCAACAGCGTGCGTGGTTCTATCCTTTTCAGCCCGCGCTGCAGCGCGGGCAACCCCCTCTTCAGAACATGTCAAGCAACAACTTGATTCGTGTTCAAACTTCACCATGGACGGTGTCTTTCTGGAACATCCTGTCTTCTGATAAGCACCAGGACCTGCGCTGTCCAACATCTCGACGCTGGGTTTTTGTGCGTCTCCGAGACTTGAGGTTGGGGCTCCAAAGGCAGAACCAATAAACCATTGTTCAAATCTCCCGGTCGCAATTTGTCCAATTCACAAACAGGGAGGCTTGGGAATCCCAAGTTGGATGGGTGAGCTTGGCTGGCTTATCCCTGAGAGCAGTGGCGATGCTAGACTTTGGTTACAGTGTCAGCAATCGCTTCAGCAAGCAGCCCGCGTGTAGAAAAACCGTCATGGCTTAAAACGCACATGTGGGGCACACCAAGCGCTGAAGCCAAAACACCTGTTTTTTTTTTGTTTTTTTGTTTTTTTCTGCACTGCGCGGAAAGCATGCTGAGATACAATGTTAAGTTGTGCCCCTTGCAAAGCCAAGCTTTGGGGTCAAAATACTTTCCAACTTCTTCCGTCGGCCTGGGCAGTCCCCGCCCTGCATGAACAATGGTGAGGTCCAGATGGCGCGCTCGGTCGCGCATAGTGCGGTCCACCAGTCCAAAAGTCCCACAAATCACAACGCCGGGGCGCGCGGTACCCTTCCGGCCAGTGGACAACGCGGCACGGCGAGCGTTGGCGCGTCCCGGCAAGGGCATGATAGCGCGAAGGATTTGGGCTTCACCGGCCCGGACCGCTGTTAACGCTCGTAATCTCACTTGCACAAAGGGCCCGGAAATACAAGGTTCACCTTTGGCACCTTTACCAAATTCTCGGACCAACATGGGGAAAGGTC